GGAGGAACCGAAGGTGGTGGGTGTTTATGAAAGGTATGAGGAGATGAAAAAGGCGGTTGAGGAGACCAGTGAGGAAAACAAAGAGTAGACAATTAGATGAGTGGGTTTAGAGGATGTATAATTATTGTTTATCTCAGATTGTAATGATGGGTAGATCTGATATGGGATTCTAAAAAAAAAAAATTAAAAAAAAGGATTTATGTATAAAATGTACCATCATGATCGTCACTCAAATTTAAGAATCAAAAACTCTTCCAGGTGGCTATTTCACTCCCTGATCTATCATTTGTTGACTGTAATACACTGTTCAAGGGACGTATTCACGTCCCCAGCAGAGCATTGGCTGAAGTAGTAGTCAAGGTTCTGGGGTGTTTGGTAGAGGATACAAAGTGGTATGGCTCAACTAAACGCACTAATTCAGAGCCGTTTCAATCGAGGCATCGACCTGCCTGATGAAAGCTGTAGAGATATTTTGCCTGTAGCCATGTTAGCTGCTCTGGGGTCGTCGTCTATTGAAAGGATGAAGGTCTAATCAGATGAATCAAATCATAGATGAGACGAGGGGAATCGGAGCAGCAGAGCTTGCTTGATAAGGCTAGGTATCTCTAGGTAATCTTACAGATACATCCATCGGATCAATAGTAAGATGTGGCATCCCTTAACAGAAGGGAATCTACAGATTCAATTTTGTATTCATGAATGATCTGCTTTTGGTGTTGAAAATCCATGGTTTTCTTTTTTTTTTTCCTACTTAAGTCGTATGATATGAACTGGCAGAGCAAAAATATACTGGCAATTCCTTCGGCTTGCATGGATTATGTGTGCACCTTGTTACTGGCTTGTGCATAGAATAGACAAGAGGTCTTGTATTGACCTCCCTGCAATGATGCGAGAATTGGCATGTGAGTATGGGAAGCATGCATGGTAGCAACGCGGATGCTGTAGATTTCATGATGGATATCTTCCCGCCTCATCTCCTGATGCCATTTCTTAATATTCTTCACATATTCTAGTTCTTGTCCGCCAATGACTATGGAAAATACATCGATATGTACTTGTTTGAATTCCATCGTGACCTGTCTCTGCGGCAGGTTTCCAATAGTCCGGAATAAGAGGTTTTTTGATTTTATGGATTGATTTTATACATTAAATTCATTCGGTAGATCTCTCTGGTTATTCTATTTGGTATATCGAAATCTGTTTGGTATATTTTGTTTAAATTGACGACACCCAGGTTTGCGGTCATGGATTGAGAAAAGAAGGTTGTTTGCAGTGGTCTACAACATCAGGGAGTCAGAAATTGCTTACGGAGTATCAGGGAATTGTTCTGCAGAGAAATTGGGAACTAAAGTTGCGTTATGAATTGAAGTGGCTGTAATAGGTGGATCAAGATACAGGAGTCTGGGACCGAAAGTGTGACATCACAGAATTGATTATGTTTATTGTGGATTGAGATGGTAGGAGTCTACTATGTGGGTGCCGACGTATTCGTGCTGAGCGGATGCGATAGAAGCTACATCTTTGAGCCAGAGACCTGGGATGTGAATTAAATTTTGTTTGGAGGGTTCATGAATAACAGGTGTGCTATGTTCGCCATTTGCAGTAGCTTGATCGAGGATCTTGAATCCTGGCTTAGATGGGTCGATTGGTGCCTTGATCAAGTTCTTGAAGTGAATCAAGTGATTGATCTTTTATGATTTCATGTTGGGGAGCTCAACGTTCAGTCTAACTGCTGTCCAATTCGCACCCTGCGTCTACCCATCATGTTTGCAGATTCGACCATATTCAGAATGTGATGCGGGGCCATATGTGTAGATTCCAACATAACCAGTGTTACATCCGCCGATCCTCGGTAGTTTTAACGATGCAACGATGGTCAAGAATATCAAGGACTAAATATTTTCTTCTTCTACTTGAGCTTTTCTCCTTGATTCGTCAGTCATCAATAAATCTGACTGGAAATTCATCCTCAAAGAATGACATCTTTCCTTACCAATTTGAAGTACCGTGACGCATTACATACAGATAAAAAACAGCCTTTGGGAAGAACTATATCCTGTTGTGTCACCTCTGTCATATAATAGGAATCAGATACTTTTTCAGTTCCAACAACTACAAGGCTAGAATCAGTTATACTAAAAACAGATATACCCTCCCATGACATCAATTTCTCCCCATCAGTCTCGTTGAAACAATGCCAACTTGGCCAGGTAAAAATCCAGAACCCTAATTTTTCAATGCCAATTTGAATTTTGTATTAAACACAAATACAAAATACCTTTTAGGAAGTTCAATATTTTTTGGGATACATCTATATTCAGATTTTTAGAAATTGCAATTTTTATTCCAATCCCAACATAACTAAGATTAAAACTAGATGCAGTTTTTTATAACATTAATCTAACCTTATCAATCTTTTCAAATGTATACCATTTAATATCTTCGAAATCGCTGCCAGCCGTTTGTCTATCCTGAATTTGTTTTAGATCAAAAAAATGGATTTGGAGAAAAAAATAGTCTCACTTCGGGCATAGTGTTAAGAACAGTATACTTTAACGTCACGTAATTCTTAATGATGAAAATGCCAATGGGTATGCGTATGGGTCTGCTGATTTGTCCGAAATGAGGTTGGTGATTTCGAATGGTGGCGCGATTATGAGAAGGAGAACCGAGACTTGAGAGAGGATCGTTCGATCTCGACCTGGTGCCACGTTCAATCTTGGTGCCACACGTTGAGCGATACAATACTGGCACACGTGATACTGAGGCCAGACTTATATGTGTAGATTTGTTTTGGTAAAAATCGGTTGATGGGAAAACCCAAAAACCTGTAGAAGGGAAGGGAAGGGAATGATATAGCGGAATAGAAGACGTTGAGATGTGAATAAATGCAATATCAATAAAGATTAGATGGGGTCCATTATCTTTGTCACGCAGGGAATCATACGCGCCCGGAAATACGCCATAGGCTGAAAATGAAAGTAGAATAGCCACGCCAGACATCACTTTTACCGGCATATCTTGGGCGAAAGCATTCCGTCAATCAGGCCATATGATTTTGTGTATAACTTCCGATCTTTTCCTTTTCAAAAGGACAGATTGGAAATCCAGAATCCTTAGGAACCCTAAAAGATTATTAGCTGAATTGAATACCCTTCCAAGCCATTATCCCCTTATCACAATCTTGCTTAGATGAGATGCTGCTAATACGGACTGCCTTACCTTCGGCAACAAACTATTATTATTAGAATAGCAATAGCCTTGGAAATACTACCTAATACTTCTTTGAGTACGATTAGGTCCTATAGGTCGATAGCCAAGAAGGATTCCTACATCAAGCTCTTAGCAGGTCTTCGCAGGTGTAATTTTGTTTTTGTTCTGGTTTAATGCACCACAATAGAGACATCAAGATGGCGCAGCCTTGCCACACACTTTATGCGACCGTATTGCGACCCAGGAAGCGCCTAGATATGTTTTTCATGAGGATGCGAGGCACATATTCGATTGGACGAATTCTGGTGCATCGAAGATATAAAAGTTCCCATCTGCCCCTTCGTTTCTTTTGGCATTTTCATCAACGAAGCAAAACATTTTCCATCTCTCAATAACTATCCCCATATGAAAGACATGGCAGCTCCAGCTCAATACCAGCCCGATCTGCAAAACTTAGTTCCTATGAATAGTCGGGAGCTTTATCTCATAGGCGTGTTCCATTGTGCAGAGAATGAATTTAGCTAACGCGAGGGAATTTGAGCAACACCCAGAAATAATTTAGGCAACATATTGAGCAATTGTCTTTTTGTTGCTACAACAAACCCCGAGTTGGAGCAATTTCAAACGCTGCCTAAGTTGCTTGTAACTTGGAAGTATTAGAGGACACACTCCAATGAGAAAGTACATTACTTACGCCTCTCCGTCATCGTCCCGCTTATTCTTTCTAAGGTTGAAAGTGAGCAAGAAAATCATCAATGGGCGACCGCCATCCGGATTCTGCTGGAAAGTGAATTTGATATCCTTTCGAAAGAACCAGCAAGAATATTTCGATCGATTTACATTTAGACGCACCTTATATAACATAGATTGCCCAGTCAAGTAATACACGTGTGGTTCGATGATAGCACCGGGACGTGATGCGGTATAGGCAAGTATCTATCAAAATCAGTAGAGCAATCTGAACCCGGACTCGCTCATACTCAAAATTAACAAGATCGTTCATCCATAGATAGCTGAGTATATCTTGTAGATCGGTGAGGCTAGCGATAGGTTTTGGGCAGGCTCTCGTACTCAATTCAAGGTTTTTTGCAAGATTGGTTCTTATAACTAATAAGTATTAATAAGACAACCCTTTAGAACCCTTAAAATTGGCTTCATATTAGGATCGTTGAATCATGTAAGGTAGCTGATAGAAACTGTTAATAAGCCAATTCAGAAGAAGGTTAAAATTATGACTTACTCCCCATAAAGCTTTTAAACCATACAATAGGCACGTAATGTTGGAGGCACAGAGGGTAGTATTCCCCCCTCCAAGTTCTCAGGCTCATTTTCGAGGTCTGCAAGTAGTTCTTCGCGTGAAAGAGTTTGTATCATTTTCAAAATATGTAATAAAGATCCAAGAAAATAATGAATTGGATAGGAAGGTAATTGAATGGTAGGAATATAGAAAAGATTAAATCAAAGAGAAATAATATATTGGAATCTAGAATTATAATAAGAAATGTTAATGCGAAGTAAATGAAGAAGGGTCGATTATAACATTGAGGATACGATATCTCAACACGATTGAAACGGAAGTTGGTTATTAAACCCTTGGATTCTAACCTTTGGATTTGAATCAATAATAAAAGGATTCTGTATTAGGAAAATGAAAATGAAAATATTAAATAGGTATCCATTAACGAAAAACCGTTAACGAAAGCCGATTTTAAAAAAGCGTTAGGTCGGAACTTGTGAACTTGTGATATCCTAATCACAAGGAAATTTGTGCACAAAAGATACAAACAGCTTCAATGGTTTAGTGGTAAAATCCAAGCTTCCCACTTTAAGATTCACATCTCTAAGAGCCTGCTTGGGCCCCGGGTTCGATTCCCGGTTGTAGCAAAACATTCTTTTTCTCCTTTGTTTTTGGTTTATATCTTCATTTTTGGTTTTGGCTTGGGTTTGGGGTTCCCAATTTTGGCCCACGCTGTTGATAAAAAAGTCCATATTATTACATGAAGTCTTTATTTTTGATGGTGATGTGTTTGGTGTGGCGGCATATGTTTGTGGGGTAAAAGTGGCGGAGCTGAGGTAAAATAATGCCCCACATTATTCCTCTTTCCTCTTTCCCCTTTCCCCTTTCCCCTTTCCCCAAATTGTGACCGGTGCTAAAATTAAAAGAGTTGGAGAGTTCTGAGTTCCTGAGTTCGGAGCTCTGTTGTGGGAAAAGTCGGTGGGAGTAGACAGAGATTGTCCAGCCAAATGTATTTCTTGATGCAACAACCGTCCTCAAAGACTTTTAACATAACAGGAGAGTTAACTGCAAGCTTTGCCGCCAACAGAAGTATCTTCGACGTATATAAAATATTGGAATTCCTGGATTCAAATTATTTACCTGCTTCTTGGCAGAGGGGTTATGATATTAGTTTTCACTCATCGGCGGTTCTCCCATTTCATTTCCAACCGAGCTAACATTATCGTATCTAACTCGCAAGATATCAATCAGGTCTATTTCTTCGGGGAAAAGACTTGAATAAGCTTACAACTATTGTTTATTGGCAGTCAGAAAGCGCATATTCAAAAACGTTTTGCGATTTTCTAGGGTTCGAGTTGCGTATAGAAATCGTTCCTCTACTCACATTTCTCTCTCTCATTTACTCGAAGTCGTAATCTCACCAAGCTAGAGATAACCTTTGAGGGTGTATGTACACACAGTGTTTCGCTGAGCTACAAATCGTGTTGACCATTTAAAGAAGGTAACTGTCATGCCTAGGCGCCTGCCTAGTGAATGCCATGTAGCTAGCTAGTCACGTGGTTATCCCCTACATTAGGTGGTGATCTCTTCAAGAGGAACCTTTCCTCTTTAGCATAGTTCTTTTATCTGATTGCTGGTACATGAAGCTATTCCCATACGCTGACATGATGCGTGTGACAGTAGCATTAATTTCCAATCCTGGAGATAGCTAGTATCCTCGATATCCAAGTCAAGACTCAAGACTGGAGTCACCGCAAAATTTAAACCCTCAAACAAATGAATCTAGGTGTTCGTTCCCATTGGATCTAAGTTGAAGACCTGGAAGATCTAACATTCAGTCATGAGCTGAAGAATCCCCTTCCTTGGATTTTCACTTGCTACGACTCAAATTGGGAGGCTCTTAACTATACATCAGTTTTGTTTCTTGACTCTCGATCTGGTATTCGCTAATCACATCTATAGATGGCCTATCAAGATAGGAGAGCTGCGAGCAATGCTAGATCTCTAGGTATCCCCGAGCCGCACTCCCAAGGCGACGGTAGCCTGTCAACTTTACAGTGCCCCATTCATACAACATTGGGGCTACAGTCAACATTTGGATACCTCAAGACTCCAATCAGATTTGAATTTACAAGAACAAATTCAATTCAAAAATTCGGTATGCAACAAAAGTTTTTTTTTCGGCTCTCCTTCCACATAAAAATTTGCGAGCCCAAAAGTTTGAGAATATCTACATTCAAGCAGAACATAGCTGTGCTTCAGTACACATCCGAGTCCATCCCTCATAATTCTATGCCCATGTATTCTTCCATTTACACTGCATACGCTATGATAGATTCCTCCAACAAGCGAGAGGCCTTAGATAGAAAACATGACCGCACGCGGATCATTGCACACAAGAATTCTAGTAGACTGCTCTACAAGCGTTGCATTGGGGGGGATGATCTTTGGACATGTCGATAACACTTTCTTTTGTTTGGCCGTTAGGACAAAATCTAGTGAATAGTATTTCTTATGAAGTGAATGTGATAGAGAATTTGTTCTAGCGAGGTGAGAGTGAACCAATCAAGTTTTTACAGGAAGGAGTGAGTTGTCGCCAATCAAAATACACAGGAAAACACGCATTCACTATGATGATTTTATAGTTATACTTTACAATAGATATCATTTACTTGTATTATTGAAGCTTAAGCCCGGGCTGGCACTAGTCGGCGAGAGCCAATTAGAGTGGACCTTTAGAAAAAAATGAGTTTGTTTTATTGCACATCTAGTGTGGTATATTTTTTGGAGATAAAAAAGTACTGTTGTATATCTAACCGGGAATGTACTGCCATTCTTTTTCAGTACCAGGTTTCCAGGCTAGTATTCGAAAAGCCTTGAAAAAAGAAGTTTTCGTTGTATATTTGAAGGAGTTGGTATTTAAAAGCATACGGCATCCATCACATAATCAACATCAGAAACAGGTCATGGTATATCATTTTATTCTCCATCTAACTAAAAGAGTACTACCGTCAGACTCAGAAGTTTGTATGCCAAAAAAGTAACAATGAAAAGAAATCAACTTTGTATACAGTAAAGGGGTTCCTATGTGCAATCAGTGGAATTATAGGCAGGGGGGAAGGCTTGAGAAGAAGCTCCTGCATAAAGAAATCAGCAATGTTCTCGAACGTTTGCTTGTGGTGCTTGAATCGAGCTTCAAATGCGGAACATCTTGAATACTTGGATTATGCATCGAAAATATCGAGACGATTGCTGCGCTCATAGTCGAGTGTCGTGGGATTTTCGAAAATATGCATATCGCATAGAGTTTCTGTAATCAAAATCTATCCATCGTTGGTTAGTCTCGTCATATGAGAGAGGAATTTGTATCTCACCAGATACGACCCTAATTCAAGTGATGTAGGCCATAATTAGCATTTTAAATAGCCTTAGTGCGAGAGAACAAACTGCTGTAGACTGCATCCACAACAGGAGTAGCGCTGATCATTCGTCCACCAAAATATCTGCCATTTAGACCCTTGATGGCATTTTCTCCTCCTTGTACTCGATCGAATTTGAGATAAATATCTCCTTGGGAGTTCGGATCTAAAGCAATGTGAACAACGTGGCCATATTTTTCTTCCGCTTCTGCGCGGACATCATCCTCAAGTTCCTTCTCCCAGTTCTCACCGTCCTCTCTGTAGATTTCGTTAGCAATTGACTGATACAAGAGCATGCATTACTCACTCTGTAGGATCGAACATATTCTTAAGCACAACACAGCGGCTAGCCATGTTGACATTTACTGGTAAAGCTTTGGTCTCGGTTTTAGGTTTTGATACTTCTCGCCTCTCGTTGTGGCTGTTCGCTGCAGTCGTGGAGTCATCTGTTCTGGCGAGTTTTCTCATCAATGCATCTCGACTATAATTGTTGAAGTTTACGCCGCCAACGTCAGTGTCGTCCAAAGCACTAGCACCACCCGCACCTTTGTCATTATCGCGACCACCAGCACGATCGAAATTACTGCCGCCAGCAGCGGTAGGACCACGCCCACCAGCGCCAGAAAATGCGGAACCCTGGAATTGTTGTTGGTGGCTTTGGCCATGGAATCTTTGCAGAAGACTGGCGGTAGATTCAGGAGTGAACTTATCGTTTCCAAGACCAACACGGATTGGTCTACCAGCAAGATCGAATCCATTCATCTTCTCCAACGCTTCTCTAGCTTGGTTTGGATCACGGAATCTATTGTATCTGTTAGCATAACTACATGACATTTCATGTAAAAACTTACTGAACGAATCCATAACCTCGACTACGCCCTTGCTCTTCTTTTTGCAATTGGACAAATTCGAGCTCACCAAATGGCTCAAACACATTCTGTAAATCGCCTTCAGTGATGCTGAAATGTATATTACCCACATATAGTCGATGGAATGGAATCTGGTTAGGATTACTAGAGGTAGCCTCGGGATTGCGAACTTGTCGATTCTTCTCAGCCTCAGTGAGTTGTGCAATAATTGGGATTCCTAGGAGTTTCTGTCCAGTGAGTTGTATAGCGGCAGGAACTGATTCTTCGTTTTTGAACTCAACGTAGCCAACACTGTACGGAGTTAGTAAGTGAGTTGTCTGAAGGGAGTGCAAAGTAAAAAACATACCCTTTAGATCTACCACTGACTCTATCTTTCACAATTTGAGCCTCCTTAACGGGGCCAACCTTTTCAAAGAATGCTATGAGTTCTTTAGTTCTGAGACGAGCTGCTAATTGCTGTACAAAAACGGTGCGTCTGTCTCGTTCATCTTCAGTCAAGGGAGGTGTGCCTTCTCGTTTTGGGCTCCGAGGTCGGCGTTCTTCTCGGGGTTTTTCTGGCTCGTCGCGATCACGGCGGTCACCTCGTGGACGGTAATATCTATCAGGACTTCTGGATCGTGAGCGTTGACGACCACCACCCCTACCTCCCCTATAATAATCTCCATCCCTGCGGCCATTCTCTTCGGGAGTATCTCTGCGGCGACGTGGTCGACGATTATCATCTCTACTTCTGCTTCTGCGCCTACCCTTCGCGCTTCCATTCTCACTTATTGGAGTGGCGGTACCATCTTTCTCGTTTCTGTCTCTGCTGCGAGCCCGGCGCTTTCTATCTCTGTCGCGGTCTCTGCTATCATCGCGAAGTCTATCGCGGTCGCGTCTTTCAATACGCTCGCCCTTGTGACGATCATCGGATTCTTTAGTCTTAGCAGATCCATTTTGCTCGACAGGAGTAGCAGCTGCAGTTGAGTCCAAGAGGGCTTCAACATCTAAGGCAGACATGGTGAAGATTGTTACTCGCCTGAGAGTGGACAAACTTAGTTTTAAAGTTATTGTTTGAATGACTGTTCTGAATATCCGGTACTGGATAATTTATCACAAGAGATAGAATTCCAATGTCGAAATTATGGATGTTTGACAATGAAATGAGAATTTGAGGTGGAATTGCTGTGTCTTCATGAAGTGACTTGTAAAAGTGGCTGGTGCGTGGGAAAATAAGAATTAGTCAGATTTTATTAGCGTCATTTCTTAGTTTGACTTAGTTTGACAATGTCATGTCAATGTCACTTCTCACGTGCTGGAAGTAAACCTAAAAAAACCACTTTTCTGGCTATGGATGGTCCAAATAATCAATGTTTTATT